GTATCAGAAAACACAAATAGCTTGGCAGGGTAGCTGCTCGAAAAAACGTTGCACCCCTTCAAAGTATCAAAAAAACGCTCGTTTTTAGTCATATTTACGGCTTTATCTCGACAGAAAAATTTTCGACAGTGTACCGCATCATCGCGCGCCCGGCTTATCAGTGGTCTATTTTTAGTTGGCGTGAATTTGCCATATGTTTATCCGGACAAATTTATTAAAGACATTCCTAAGTCCAATGTTTAGTTTAACGGCGCGAGACATCGTTTTACTTAACGTGTTCATTTGTAGGGAATTTTTCATTGGTTCAAGCATTAATTTGGACGAATTTAGGTTGTGCGCGCCATCATGATTGTTTATGACCTTTCTGACCTTTTCACACCCATCAACACCATTATCTTTTTCAGTTGCTATAAAAATTTTTGAACCAAAATAATTTCAAACGCGGATAAGGAGAATTTGCATGTGAGTGGTAATATATTTGGGTGCGAACAATATTGGTTGAATTCGTCACTAACCCTGACAAAGAGACCAAGGAGCCATTTCTTTTGAAGGGTGAAGGACACCGGAAAAAAGTCTGAAAGCAGATTTTGTTTTCCTAGCCTTGAACCTGTCACATAATGAACCCTTCAAATCCTTACGCTTGAAGGAAAGGTACAAGGAAAAGTCCAAACGATTCTATAGAAATTTACCTTTGAAGGGTGAAGGACAACGGTAGGATGTCTGAAAACAGATTTTGTTTTCTCATCCTTGAGTCAGAGATATGTAAGATGTACCCACAGATATGGAGAGACATAGATGGAGGAACTATTGAAAAAAGCGTCTCAGCATGGAGAACGATTTGGGTATAATCATAACAAGAATTGTGCAGAGTTGTGTGTGTGTGTGTGTTACCTTTTGAACCAAGCGCTTCACTCGATGACGTGTATCACATTGCCCCATATTTATTTAAATTACTGGCCAACGCCACCTAGCGGCACTTTCAGTACCACATTGCACTTTTTGCCGCTAGAGGGCGTTTTTCGCAGAAAGTGTCAAAACGTTCTCAAAGCATTTCACTCTATGACGTGTATCATACTGCCCCATCTTTATTAACTTTGCTGGCCAACGCTACCTAGCGGAACTTTCAGATACCCGGTTGCTTTTATTGCCGCTAGAGGGCGTTTCTGCTGATAGAGTCAAAACGTTCTAAAAACAGTTCTCTATACGTTCTCAAAACGGTGTTTAAACGTCGGCAAGCATCAGAATAGCGCAACCCCAAAAACTGATGCCGTAACATGAATATCAACTTCAATGCAATGCTTGGCAACTAATTGAATTGTTAGCGAGATGCCCATGCAGTAAAAGTAATCATCAAAACCAAGAATTGTGCAGGGGTGTGTGTTTGTGTGTGTGTTACCAGTTGAACTTGGCGCTTGATTACACACGTGTCTCACATTGTCCAAGCTAACGTCACCTAGCGGCAGTTTGGGCACTATGTTGCATTTTTCGTTTCTAGAGGGCGTTTTTCGCTAAAGTGTCAAAACGTTGACGAACACGAGAACAACGAAACACACCCTGTAGATCCGCTGAGACTTGATGAACGGCCTCATCCCCTAGAGTTGACATTTTACCTGACATGCGCACACCCCTTAAAGTTGACACTTTACCTGTGACCTGGGCACACCCACTATACTTGACACTTGACCTGGGCACACCCACTATACTTGACACTTGACCTGGGCACACCCACTATACTTGACACTTGACCTGGGCACACCCACTATACTTGACCTGGGAACACCCACTATATTTCACATTTGACCTGTGACCTGGGCACACCCACTATACTTCACATTTGACCTGTGACCTGGGCACACCCACTATACTTGACCTGTGACCTCTGTTCCACAGGGTATATTTGACACCTGACCTGTGCCTTACTAACTGCAATTACCTACCAGCGCCACCTATCGGATGTTAGCTGTTTTTCAGCGCTAGAGGGCGGGCTTTTGCTTCAAGTGCCAAAACGTTTTTAAAACGTTAGAACAATGGCATACTTTAGAGTCGTGACTGAACGTTTTTCGTGGTGACACCCTTTAGAGTCGTGACTAAATGTTTTTCGTGGTCACACCCAGAGAGTCGTAACTGAATGCTTTTCGTGGTCACATCCTTTAGAGTCGTGACAGAACTTTTTTCGTTGTGACACCCTTTGGAGTGGTGACTGAACGTTTTTCGTGGTCACACCCTTTCGAGTCGTGACTGAACGTTTTTCGTGGTCACGCCCTTTAGAGTTGTGACTGAACGTTTTTCGTGGTCACACCTTTTAAAGTCGTGGTCGTGACTGAATGTTTTTCGTGGTCACACCCTTTCGAGTCGTGACTGAACGTTTTTCGTGGTCACGCCCTTTAGAGTTGTGACTGAACGTTTTTCGTGGTCACACCTTTTAAAGTCGTGGTCGTGACTGAATGTTTTTCGTGGTCACACCCTTTCGAGTCGTTACTGAACGTTTTCGTGGTCACACCCTTTAGAGTCATGACGGCACATGTTTCGTCTTCACACCCTTTAAAGTCGTGGTCGTGACTGAACGTTTTTCGTGGTTACACAAATTAGAATCCGGACGTTACGAACTCTATTATTAAAAATCGTGATATACAACGTGACAATCAAGTCCACGCTCCTTTGCTTTGTGTGAATGTAAATGTGTAACAATTATTCAGCAGACATTTGTATCACTGAACTAAATAAAATCGTTTTGCTTAGAGCCCGCAATGCGGGCTTAAGAGACTAGTTTGGGTATAATTTGGGTATAACGCATATGGACTTCGTTGTCACTTTGCCCCACTTTCTCAGTTGGCAGAAGCTGGAGCAGTATTTAGTTTCATTCACAAATTTAGTTTTTAACATTGGAGTGATTTGAGATCGGGGATCTATGTCTCTCCATATCTGTGGATGTACCCTCCAATAAATTATATATGTAGATAAATACCGACCCTAATAAAGTGTAAACCGACATTTTAGGTTTATTGCATTGAGCTTGTTTGGGCTTTATGTAAGTCGATAAATATGCTAGTTCTATCTAACCTAACCTAGATATACTTGCGGAATTTATAAAATCTTTTACGACAATTTTCCACATTTTATATTTTTTTTGATAAAGTTACTATCAAATTTTTCGATTTTCCGATCTAACCTCTCTGACCTGCCTCATGTGTCAGAGAGGTGAGATATCGAAAATGTGATAGTGTTTTCCAAATTACAGAGCGTGAATCAAGATACAAAACTCACTTTTATTTTTGATATAACATTTGTTAGAGAGACCTGGGATTATTGGAATTTGCATGTGTTGTACCCAGATAGTCAAGGAACAGTTCGCAAAACAACTTTTAGTTCTGTGCATCAACATGCCCCCACTCCCCCCACGGAGTGCGAGGTAGCCGTATTAGAGTTTTCCAAAGATAAATTGTACCATAAAAAATTGTTAAGAAACTGGCGACAACTGAATTCAAGTGCCAGTCAAAGCCATGTTTCCAGTGTATTAAATGGCACTGCCATGAAGAGGAAGGGATCATTGGCTAGGGTTCCACCTCCACCAAAGTGGCGTCCAAGATCAGCCAGAATCGAGGATGAGTTGTACTATATTGTAAATTCTAGCAATAAGGAAAATCCGTGAGCCCAGAAAAGTACGCAAAATGTTGGGGCTGAGTCAGGCAATAGATTTTAGGATCATTCAATTTGACCTAAATAGATTAGCGCGGAGGAGGACCTTGTGTACGCCCCCAAGCCGTCTTACATCAAGTTTTTCGAAGCAACTTCGCGATAACTGTTTGAAAACTTATTTTCCCGAAATAAATTTTTAACTGCAATTACTCTTGACGAGTCGAATGACATTATTCAGATAGATTATTTTGGTTTTTATTACTTTGGTTTTTATATACTTGAAGCAGAGATTTTAAAGCGGACGGCTTGGGCGCTAAGTGGGTTTTGGAAAACTTTTCAAAACGAGTGGAACAAAATCACTCCAAAAAAGTGTTAAACGTGATACTAGCGTACAAAAAGCGATTGCACCTCGTTAGACAAACTAATGGGCTACACATTGAAGCAATTTACAAAATGCACAAACGAGTAATAAAGCTGTAGAAAAATAAATAAAAGTGAGTTTTGTATCTTGATTCACTCTCTGTATGACAAATTTGCAAATCTTTTACGTAGTACATATGTACCACTAACAAGGGACACTCACGACCTGTCGTTCGAGTCCAGAGTACCCACTATGTTTTTTAGAATCTACTAGGACCCCAAATGAAGGATCCATTCATATTTCCGTGTAGAACTCATATTTAGCGCCATGGCGTGGCGCCAAATTCGCCAAATTTGAATGTTTTTATTTTTGAAACCGCCATGGCGTGGCGCCAAATTCGCCAAATTTGAATGTTTTTATTTTTAAAACCGCCATAACTTTTGAAATCTTGGACGGATTTTCAAAATATTTGGCAAAAATCATGACAAGGGGTTTAACTTTCTTATCCCATGAATTTTTTCCAAAATTATTGCTTTGAACTTTTCGTAAAATTTCGTAATTTTCTTAAAAATGGGGGTTAATCGAAAAAATGCTAAAAATATTTCAAAAATCAGTAATTTTTAATTTTAATTTTTTTTCAAAAAGTTAGACTTTTGTGATCATTTTAAGCATAAAATTTTGAAAATTCGACATAAACTGCAAAAGTTACGGGGTTTAAAATTGGTCGAAAATGCAAATTTTTAAGTTTGGCCATGGCGCCAAATATGAGTTTTACACGGAAATATGAATGAATCCTTCATTGCAATGACGCAAAAATTTAGCCTGCTATCGTTAAAACTCACGGGTAAATCAAGTATCAAAATCTGAAAACGGCCTGTAAATTCGTACATATTTTGGTAACTTTTTCGCGATACAGCACCCAGGAAAAAATCAACATGACAACTTTTTATTAAATATCAAATTTGCAATGGAAACGAGACAATTTGGTTAATTTTTTGCATAGTAAAATTTTGAAGAACATATTTTCTGTGAAATTTGTTGAATATATTTATAAGGAATTATACATGTATGTATTTCTGATCCAAATAGTTATTCGTAGCATCTGGGAAACGGGCATCCTCCACCAGCCCAAGGGAAGCAAATCATATGGTTTCCGCCATTTCGGCAATAAACGCCCGGAATTTGTCCGCCGAACGGGCAGTGACAGTGACCGTTCAGTTCACCCCCGCACTGACACTGGCAGCCTCGGTGCGGGTAGTGCCGGGCACACATGCCCTCCGCCGGAGGAAACATCCAAGTCAGCGTGACCACGAAGACCAAGAAGACAGCGACCAGTGAGCATGGTTTCATCATGATCGACATTTTATGGTTGGTCAATTATTGGAAGCAAGAGGTGAAAATTACCAAATAAGTTGGTAACGCTGGAAAATACGTACAAAATTAGGTTGAGAAACCAGTTTGAAATTCATTAATGTAGGAATCGATGACTCCTCAAATTCAACACAGTTTAGGTGAATTTTGAGAATTTATTTTAAAATTGTGGACTGGAAATTTAAACAACATGGGGCTGCCCGTTTCTTTAAAATATGTTAATATGTACTCCAAATTTTGTACCGTTTTCGAAGAGTTAAAGAAAGCGTTCGGAAAAATTCGAACCCGTCTAAATTACCTTTAAAAAAATCACGACTGTTCTAGTCTTTAATTTTTACTGAGTACAAATTTACCGTCCAGAATTTTAAAATAAATTTCCATAGCTGAAACATCATTTAAAACTTAATGGACTTACCAAGCTTGGATTTGTGTCGAGATGTACTTAGTTGTTGCTTATTTTATCTTTTCTATTTTATGCATGAATTTCAAGTTGGTTTTGGGGTTGCTTTTATACCGAAAGATTTGTCTATTTACTCGATATCATCCAGTTTAGGCTTTGGTATGGACATAAGAAGTATTTCCGTTCACCGCAAAAACAAATTAATACCAGGAAACTGTGGGTATGGTTTTTGTGAAGTGCAATATGTAAAAATGTGCAGGAAATGATTCGTCAATCTTGAGGTTATTATGGTTTGTTTAGAATTATGTAGTAGACGAATTTTACAACAAGATAACCTGGCTCACTGTGAAGGTTGTTACCAAATTATTTAAACGTTGTTGGAAACGTGGTTGTCCCTAATATTTTTTTGTGCATATGTAATCCTGCAGAAAATTTTTATCGGTTTTATTCTACAGAATGATACATATGTGCATAATTTGCATCAGCTTATATTTCTGCACAAATCAATCTGCATAAAGCCGAAAACCGAGCCATATTTGCATACAGCGATTCAAATTTTTTCTGAAGACCTACAAGAAATTTGAGAGGCTATTTTTAATTAATTCAGTTTCTTACACCTCGAATTTTTTGCGGTTTATCGTTTGGAATGCAAGATATGCAGCAAATTCCGAGAAACGGATGTTGCAAAGTATTTGAGAAACATTTTGCCGGACCCCAAATTAATTAACTGCGAACGTACCGCAAGGCAAATATTTATGTAGAAATGTTGAATATTGAACCACAATTGAAACTGGTCAACAGGCAGATAAATACCTATGTTAATTTGGGTACAAGCAAGTGCACTGGTTGCTGATTGACTCGTAACTGACATATGTACATAAGTATTTACATAATGCTGATTTATGTATGTATTTTATACTAAATATGTTTCACTTTGAGTGTGGTGATGCTCCGAACTGTTTTTAATTTGATTAATGACTGACATAATTCTAGAGGTGAGTCGGCTCAATGTTTTTTTGAAAGACCTTTCCGTGGTATTTGGATTAGAATATACAGAGTTCAAGTTGCCCTACAAAGAGTATAAATGAACTCTAGTGAAATAATTGGCACTTGATTAATTGATATTTATAAATGTGCGCACATGGAAGCATGTAAAATACCACCAGCCACCGCGGCCCAAGTCGGCACAATTTTGAGTGCTATCATCGTTGTCGTTGTCAATTGTACTGAACTGCTGTCCATCATTCAAAATTAATTCATCGTCTGCAATAATAAGCAATGTAAGTCAGATATAAGTACATAGTTTATGTGCCGACCAACTTATGTAGATTGACTGAATGCAGACAAAATTATATCCATAATATGGTAAAATTAGGATCACATACATATATGCATATTTGAGCAAGTTTCGAATGAGAAAAATGCTTTTGCTTGATCTGTTTTTACCTCTAATTAAAACAAATATATCAAAATCTTTCCCGGGGTTATGTGCAAATGGACACTGCCAAATCTTTTCATTAAAAATAGACTTGACTAGAGGAACCAGGAATTTTCACAATCCGCGGCACTCATATATGATTGCAAGCACTACATGGATGAATTTCATAAAAATGGTAGGCCATAAACACTTCATTTAAAATTAGCCCTGCCACTACTTTTAACCTTAATTATTTTGATTGTTTGGACAAATCCAAAAATTTAAAATATGTATGCCAGGCATCTGAACTCTCTTACCTTCAGTTCCGTTAAAATTCTCGACGGTTAAACGGTATTTATCTCCGGCATCCGCGACTTTGAAGACCCCGTACGTCGCGTAGCTCTTTACCCCTTCCCAGTCTTCCAGATCGACCCGTAACTGCGTATATCCCTCCACTGTCAGCTCATGGATGGTCCTCAAGCCTACATAAATAGGGGAGGATTTATTTAATACCAGTTTGGATAATTAATGTGTACAATTAAGAAGCTTAAGTTGTGCTACCTAGAAAGAAATCCCCATCAAGGCTGCCAAACCCATTTTCATATTCTGTCCAAACCCTTTCGAAACTTGTTCTCTCGTTCCCTGGCGAAGTTGGTGTTCCCCTTCGCTGAATTAAAATCCACTCCTTGTCACAGATTACCTATTTACACAAGGTTAACAATGATTTGCTATATTTAACGCTCCGGTAAAGTCATATTGGATCAAGTAAAGGACATTTTTCATTTTTCATTTTGTTTCAATCCTAATCATTCATTTTTGTGGTTTGGACAAATTTGTAAACATGAAAGTACTTAATTTTAGGCAAAAAAATAAATTCAGGGATGATATAAATACACTCAACGGAACAATTATTTGGCAGAATTAACGACCTGCACTTAAATGCATATTCCTAAAAAAGTTCAAGAGATTTCCGGGTGATTATTTTTGTAATTATTACATAAAGTAACTGGTAATGACATACCAAAATACCAATTTCGAAAAAAATTTTGAGTGGGGTAAACCAAGATTTTCCCACGAGCAGTTAGATAGATAGCAGTAAAATCAATCACGGAACAATTATTTGGCATTTTCGTGTATAGAATGAAAAAATTGTTATTTCGAGTTGGTAAGCACGTTTTTAGTTTTACATAGCTAGAAAATGTATTCTGTTCCATTTCTACGAATTTCCGACATTTAACCGATAGCTCCATCGAAGCCGAAGAGAGCGTCATTTGACCAACTTACCAGGGTCATTAAATATTTTGTAGGGGATGATACCAGGAGCCCAAAATTTCAAAACTGCACAAAATACCTCCCACAATAGTGCAGTATACAATTGAATACTATTAATCCACCAGGTTGATTTAAATAAGCTTCGACGAGACCGAAAGCCAATATTTTCCTAGACGGGTCCCAGAAATTTTGGTCTCTGTTGATGGGCCCTATAGCCAATGCACGCCATATGCTGATGTTACCTTTTGATATGGGGGGCTTCTTCCTAGTTCGGAAAAATTTTATCGGTCAGTCTCATCGGATTTTTCTGATCAGCTGAGATGTCAGTTAGATTTCCATGTTGAGTTTCGATATGTGAAATAGAAACTTTCGGGTTGACCATGATTTTCTTGACAATGGCCCACGTCTGCGGCATGGAAAATATTGACTTTCGGTCTCGTCCAAGCTTATTTAAATCAACCTGGTGGATTAATAGTATGCAATGGTATACTCCACTATTGTGGAAGGTATTTTGTGCAGTTTTGAAATTTTGGGCTACCGGTATCCTCCCCCACAAAATATTTAATGACCCTGATAAGGTGGTCAAATGACGCTCTATTTTAACCACGGCCACCACACCCCCAGCGTTCCTTAAGATAGATTTTAGGAACGCCTTCAATGAAATACGGCGGGATACTCTTCTCCATGTCGTTCGGGAGCGGTTTCCCTCAATCTTCCCATTTGTGTCCCAGTGCTACGCCAAACCCTCGTCGCTTTTTTACGGGACAATACCAATCCCTTCGCTCCTAGGGTGCCATCAAGGGGACCCTTTGGGCCCCGCCCTATTTTCGCTAGTCATCCACCCCATCGTCGAAGCGCTAGAAACGGAACTAAATATGTGGTATCTCGACGATGGGGCGGTGGCGGACTCTCCAGATAAAGTTTTGGCGGCTCTGGAGACAATTTCCAGAATGGGTGTGGAAGTGGGGCTACACCTCAATCATGATAAGTGCGAGGTGGGCATTTTAGGGGCCGATCGAGACACCGCCATCGACATTCTCCTACAATTCCAGAAAGTAGCCCCTGGGATTTAACTATTGTCCCCCGAAAGTGCTATGCTTCTTGGCGCCCCCCTCACCAACGAAGCGATGGAAGTTGTTTTGGCAGCAAAGACGGCGCAATTGGCTAATTTTTCCCAACGTCTACAGCAACTCTCGACCCATTCTGCGTTCTTCCTGCTTAGGGCATCAATTTCCATTCCCCGCCTTATTTACTTTCTCCGCTGCGCCCCAACTTGGAGAAAGTTGGATTCCCTGGCTCACTACGACGCGACCTTGAAGGACGCTCTCGAGGCGATTCTCAACTGCTCCCTCTCGGCGGCTGCCTGGATGCAGTCGTCCCTACCTGTCAAGGAAGGCGGCCTAGGGATTAGGCACGCTGTGGATGTGGCGATTCCGTGTTTTCTTGCGTCCGTCCACAGCGTCCTGCCCCATATGGAACGTCTGCTTCCAGGTGATTTGCATGGCACCGACGCCGCCATGATAGAGGGGGAGGAGCGATGGACCGCCCTCGGACCAGCCGAACTCCCCGCCGAAACAATCAGAGGAGTTCAGGCGGCGTGGGAGCGTCCAATTCTGGATATCACCTTGTCCCAGTTAACACAAGGAGCGACCACCCCGGAGGACACCGCCCGCTATCGTGCCCTGCGGGATAAGTTTGCAGGCTCTTGGCTTAATGCCCTTCCATCTCCTCAACTTGGAACCCTTTTATCCAATGAATCGTTTCGTGTTTCAATTTCCCTCCGATTGGGCTGCGACGTTTGCCAACCCCACAAGTGCCCGTGCGGAGCACAAGTAACTGCGCGAGGCTACCATGGCCTCTCCTGTCGGCGCAGTGCGGGACGTTGGTCCCGCCATGAGGCCGCCAACGACGTGATTGCGAGAGCGCTCCGTTCGGCGGAAGTTCCTTGCATCCGGGAGCCGGCGGGATGCTCCACCCAGAACGGGAAGCGTCCCGACGGAATGACTCTTATTCCGTGGTCAAGAGGAAAATCCTTGCTTTGGGATTTTACATGCGTAGACACTTTTGCTCCCAGTTACCTTCCCGAAACTGCGCTATCAAGGCGCCGCTGCGAGCATGGCGGAAAATAGAAAGAGGTACGCCTTCCTCTTGGACCGTTTTATTTTTGTCCCCGTCGCAATGGAAACAACGGGGGTGTGGGACCAGGAGGGGCTCTCCCTCATCAATCAAATCGGTGAACGGATCACCGCAAGAACCGGACAGCCTAATGCTGTCACCTTTCTCCGCCAACGAATCTCTCTAGCTGTTCAGCGCGGAAACGTAGCCTCCATTTTAGGGACGCTCCCAGAAGGCAAAGAATTAGAAGAGGTGTATTATTTTTTATGTATTTTTTTTTAACTTACTTTGACTTTTTTATGATTTCTACGATTTTTATTCAGGTTAGGGACTTTTAATGTACGACTCCTTTGTTAGTCAGCTTTTCTGATGTGAAATTTGTGTAATGCAATGATAATTAGTGAAATAAAACGAATACATGAGGTTGAAAACCCTACATATTTGCGTGCCATATTTGCACTCGCCTGGATCTCGACAGGTGTTCACCTCGCCTTTGTATGGTATAAATATGTTTAATTTATACAAAGATTTGCTTATATGGATGTATGTATCTTTATTGCATAAATAGCCAGTAGCTCTTGCAAGTCATAATTACATAGTTAGTCAAATTTTTAGATTATAATAATTGAGATAGTAGTCAGGGGAGTAGAGGGAAAACCAGACTGTGGTGGTCGGTCTGGAAAACCTCTACCTGATCTGGGAAGGATGCCCAGATCACCATTCGGCCCTGACTACCTGAAAAACCCAGGCTCAACCAAAGAGTGACAGAGATTATAGGCGATTTACATATGGGGAAAAATGGTGACATCCAAATGAGTAGGCGACGTGCTGGCGGGGACACGACGGGTTCAGGGGTGGAGCGGAGCGTCCATGGACCACAAACTAACCAATGACCATCAGTGACCCCATAAAGGGGCCATGAAACTCTCCACAAACTAACCCCTCCCACCGCAGCACATGACCAGGTCATGGGAACCCCGTAGACCTACCCCAGCCGCCCCCACCAGCACCGCGCAGACCCACTCTTCAGTCGACCACCCCCACATGCTCACCACCCCAATATAACACTCAAAGGTCTCACCTGGGGGAGTCCTCCAAGGCATAGATCCTCCAGTGCACAGGGTCCGACGAGATCCATCTTCGCCTGATGGCTCAGCTTGTCGTTGCTGGGACGGGTGTGGCAGGGGGTGTCACTAGGCACGCAGGTGGGGGGTGTGAGTGGACGAGGCTCACGTGGCGTAGGGGCCTTAGGACACACTTAACTGGCCCTGGCACACCCGCGACCCAGATGGAAGGAGATCCAGATGCAGAGCGAGAGAGAGATACGTGTTGCACTGGAGAATGCCAAGGAGGAACTCCACTCCAGGATTTGCTTATATATGCAGCTCAATCCTGCCAGGGTAAAATGATTTCCGGAATCGATAATTTCGATGGTAGTGGAATCTTTATGCACGCTAGGCAGTTTTCAGTGTAGAGATAACTTCATGAACGCAATTGCCGTATCTCTGCGTTCTCTAAATCCGATTTGCTCACAAATCCATAAAAACAGTGGTCGTTGTACGGGTTTCAGATGATTCGATGGCTAAATTGGTGGTGATAACACCATACGTCCTTGTCATGATTTTGCACGTCATACGATATCTGTCACCCTTTCTAAGACAATTTATTGAAGTGCCCAAAAATTTGAATTAAGAATTTTGTTCTTCCTGTGCCAATTTCAGACGTAAGTGTTTTCTTCTTCCTTTGTGTTTGTAAGACCAAATTCTTGTTCGTCCTTAGCATTTCTAAGATATGAATGGTTTTTGTGTCTTTTTAAGACCTGAGTGTTCTGTTCTGCTTGTGTCTTTCGAAGACCCGAGTGTGTATTTTGCTTATGTCTTTCTAAGACCTAAGTGTTCTGTTCTGCTTGCGTCTTGTACTTGTGTCTTTCTAAGAACAGAGTGTTCTGTTCTGCTTATGTCTTTCTATTAGAAAGACATAAGCAGAACAGAACAATTAGTTCTTAGAAAGTTTCTAAGAGCTAAGTGTTCTGTTCTGCTTGCGTCTTTCTAAGAACTGCGTGTTCTGTTCTGCTTGTGTCTTTCTAAAAACTGAGTGTTCTGTTCTGCTTGTGTCTTTCTAAGAACTGTTCTGTTCTGCTTATGTCTTTCTAAGACCTAAGTGTTCTGTTCTGCTTGCGTCTTTCTAAGAACTGCGTGTTCTGTTCTGCTTGTGTCTTTCTAAAAACTGAGTGTTCTGTTCTGCTTATGTCTTTCTAAGACCTAAGTGTTCTGTTCTGCTTGTGTCTTTCTAAGCCCTAAGTTTTCTGTTCTGCTTGTGTCTTTCTAGGAACTAAGTGTTCTGTTCTGCTTGTGTTTTTCAAAGACCTGAGTGTTCTGTTCTGCTTGTGTCTTTCTAAGACCCGAATGCTCTGTTTTGCTTAGGTCTTTCTAAGCCCTTAGTGTTTTGTTCTGTTTGTGTCTTTCTAAGAACTGGGTGTTCTGTTCTCCTTGTGTCTTTTACGTGTTCTGTTCTGCTTGTGTCTTTCTAAGACCGGAGTGTTTATTCTACTTGTGTCTTTCTAAGACCTGAGTGTTCTGTTCTGCTTGTGTCTTTTTTAAGTGTTCTGTTCTGCTTAGGGTTTTCTAAAATTTTAGTGTTCTGTTCAGCTTGTTTCTTTGTTTGACCTGGGTGTCTTGGTCACTTTGCTTCAAGTAGACCTTACTTTTTTCTATTTTTTAAACATGTTTCTTCAATTAAAAAAAAAGTTACAAAAAAATTTGGCGGCGCTTCGCGCCGCCAACTGTTCTCCCCCCTGCGCGAAGTGTTCTCCCAACCTAGTTGGAGGATGGGTAATAAAATGCAGGTATGCAAGATTATACATTGGCACGACCGGCGACTTGGACATACGGATAAAAACTACACGAACTATTTCCAAAAAGGACTCCTCAACAAGAAAGGGAGTAACTCAGTAGAACTGGTCAGGGAAGGAGAGCCCATTGGGGTGCACAAGATTAAACTGCTTTTTCTTATTTATACACTTTGTGTCGGCACTTCTGTTCTGGCTTACGCGGTAGAAAATCATGAGTTTATAAAAAGATGTTTTTTGTCGTGTAAAATATATTGTGTTAAGCTACGTCGATAGGTTAAGATTCGACTATTGCTGGTTCAGAAGTCGTTAAATTTTCGTAAAATGAAGTTCTTACGAGTCACAGATAGCGCTGTATAGGAATATAATTAATTATCAATTAAGAATTAATTATCTCACATGATACGTAGAAATCAAGATACAAGAAAGATTACAAGGAAAAAATTAGTTACAAAGTTTTGCAAGTTTTGCAAGTAAACCGGTGGCATTTGTTTATTTCGATTTTTTATGAACGACTAGTAAAAAAAGGAATAAAATACTTACTCGGCTTGCCTAATTTTACTTGGCATAAAATTGAATTACAGCAATTGACAACCAAATTATGGATATAAGGATTGCCAACTAATTTCTCATTGAGCCAAAAAATTTTATTTAATTTCAACATCAACATTTGAAGTTTTGTCACAAATTTTCGTCGAATTAAAGAGAATTTTCCCATGCAAATTAAATCCGTCCTTATGTCATTAAATCCATGAAATTATAGCTTTTGCATTATGTCAGGCACGCTTTACTAATTTGGAAATTCTAGGACATTTCCTTCGTTTGCGGTAACATCTTTTCGAGTGTTTAATATTTCCTAAATAATTAAAACACTTTACACAAAGCGATAAAGCATAAAGTACATATGTTTTGGCAATAACACTAAACTCATTATATCCTTCAATCACGAGGGCCACCAATGCACACAACGTCAGTGCCCCACATATCATAAAAACTGTCATGATTCGCCCATCAATCGCAGTCTTGGAAACACTTGGAGTTGTATCGTTTGCAACGGGTTTTCTACCGTACGACAGATCTTTAAAATTTGCCGTTCTTAGTCTGAAATAAATTCCAGAAGAAACTAACGTTTGAAGATTTCTATGCACTACGGACACACCGCTGGAGGTTGTGCTACCAGCGACTTTTTGAAATTCCCAACCAAACCGCCTTGGTCGCCAGCTGGCGCTTCCAACATAAAATTTTTTGGATGGATAGCAGGAAATATGCAGGAAATCCATCTCAGCCGACACGGTCTCAACCACTGAAAAGTAAGCACGTTTCTCCTTGCAATTTATAATATCTTTCTCTACCAAGGCTTCCAATTTAGTTTGAGTATAGTTTTGCTGTTGGGGACTGTAGCCAGTAGGGAGGGTGTTATGAGCAGGGTTTATAAAAAGCCATTCAAGTACATTCTCTTTAGTTAAACTTGGAAAACTCTTGTCATTTAAGAAACTTTCCTTTGCTGACTGAAAAAACTCTGCTGCCGCACTATACGAAGAGTAGGTTCCAATATCATGAAATAGATGCCCAAAGCTGGGGAAAGTATGCTGAAACACTCATTCGAAGCATAATCAATTTTGGAGGATGGAGTAAGACAAAAACCTGGCGTTGAGCAGTCCAAGTTTCCCCAATATGCTGAATAGCTCTCGAAGTTCAATTCTTTTGCAAGACTGGAAATATTCTGAACGACCCTGCTATCCAGTAAGTGTCGACTTTTGCATATGAGATCCTCAACCGTTTGAGGCCGAACTGACTCCAATGGCGCGTTAAGTTCAGATACCAGAAGCCCGCCGTAGCAATTTATAATCAAAACAGCTACCGGTCCCCACACGGTGAATATGAGGCGATAAAATAAACCATTTGCTATTGATTCTGGAACACTTGTAAAATCATCAAGTAATAAGGAAATAAACGATAGTGATACCGTAAAGGATACTTCACCAGTCTTTACAAACATATAGGCTTGAAAGATGGCACACGTAATGGCTAAAGTTATACTTAAACCGAGCCATAATGTAAGTTTAAATGGCGCCAGGTAAAAATCGAAACTAAAATACTTTTCTGAATAACAACTTAGAAATTTAAAACCAAAAGATTGTGTGAATTCTGATTCAATGTCATTCCTAAGATCGTTTTCAATTTGTAGTTCGACAAAGAGACGCGGCCCGAATTTATTTATGCAAATTGTTGCATTAGTTCCTGCCTTTACGGCAATAACTGCCATGTAGACATGTACACTAGAAAAGGACCAGAGGTTGAACGGATTCATTGTAGGGTGCGGTAGATCTTTTGTCGGCACTTGCAGCTTAGCATTCCCAAAAAATAAATGCCAACATTCCGGCGGACCTTTGAGTTTCGCATAATCTACTAAGGTTCTATGGTCATCTGTGCTGCTGCAGGTATAATCTTGGAGACTCGAATACAATGCGTATCCTCTCACGCACATTTTAGTTTCTCCATGGGTTACATGGACAATGAAAAAGTTTCCGTAATCATTTTCTAAGTAAAACTTACGCAATACAATATTTATCTGAACCTTTGTTGGAAGGATGTTTATTAGCGAATGGATAAAATTCCACGGGTATCCATAAATTATATTGTAAGTGCAGGGCTGACACTTAAATCCGTAGTGATGCTTGGAGGCATGCTCCCATTTGAAAATTCTAAAATACGAAAGGCTTATATTTTGTATTGGGAATAACAATTTGGAAATCCAGATGCTGATTTTGGTGGAACCTGGGCGGCTTCGCATAACGTCCAAAGTAGAGTCATAACGTTGTGAACGACTTTGATTGGTTTCTAAATTCCTGATGGTAATTGGGTGGAAGATATAGGGGATCATTGATAAGTGGTATGAGGAAACTCCGTCGTGTATAATCTGGATGTTAGAATTTGCAATACGTTGTAGAAAATTGGTTGGTATGACGGTATCGTATGTTGGAGGGGTATCGGGACACAATGTCATTACTGGGCAGACGAAAAGTAACAAACTTATCTAGGGCAAAAGTGGAAACCATGTTGGTTACTAATTTTGCGAAATCTTGCTTAAAATACCAAACAATAACTCCTCTTGATTGCGGATCACATCAATTTTGCCATGCATTTGGATGTCAAATAAATTTTATAGATTATAATATTCTGCACCATGATATTATCCGACTTTATGACCCCCATTGGTTAGCCACTTGACAGATCTTATCAATTCAGAACTTTATTTCTTATCTTAGGAGAGGAGTACCATGATAAAATGTATTTATTCAATTTGAAAAATCTGGCTATCAACCAAATACATGGCAAAATGGCATGCAATTCTGGAACTTTTAACTTTTCGAGAAAATATTGAACTGTGTATGCCTCACCCTGTGAGGAGAATCCACGGAACACAAAAATGTGTATGCACCCTGGGTTCATATGTGTTAATGCTAAAGTTAATTTTATGTATATTAATATTAAATTAATGTAAAGATGATCATTTGATGACACAGGAGTTAAGAAAAACAGGCAGTGTTTTCCGTTTAGTGAGATGAACACGTATTTTGCAAAGGTGGACAAACTTCTATAATAGGCAAATATTGATGGACTTCGTGATATATGGTGAAGAAAGGTTTTTGCTTAATTAAAAACTCTGTACTTTTCCGGATAGTCTAACGTGGTATTATTGTCGGTTATATGTACGCACTTACATATTAGACGATCGCGTGATGCAGGTTTTTACATTAAATGGATTACATCCATCTATATCGCAAGTATTGAAGAAATAAATTTGTTGGATAAACTCTGCATCACCCAATGTATAATCTCATAGTTCTGAAGAGAACATAAGGCATCATATATCTAAATGCAGCGTTGGCCTATTTCTATATATATGTATTTATTGAGTACAATAAATTTTTCTTGTTCAACCTTTCCAAGATGCACAATGATAAATGTATGTACATATGTGGTACATTGTACAATTTTCAGAATTATTATCAGCACATGTGTATAATTTCCCTATCTCGTCCCGTTGTCACACACATCCACATATGAGGGATATATACAAGACTAGTCTTTAGACGATTCTACCCATGGTAATCCACCACCACCTCTGCCACGAATCTTCTTCTCCTGTCTTTTTCGCATGGTGGTGGTAGTGGTTATGTAACCAATTGGTTAACACATAACCACTACCATTGCAATGGTAGTGTTGCATTCGCGAGTCAAGATGTATTCCTCATTCCATACGGATTGATATCTGTCAATACTTCAATAAGGTGTACAAAATAGTACAACTTTACCCACTTTCCTCCATACGGATCAGCAGTGAAGTAATATAAATTTGTGCCAGTTTTTCGTCCACATTTTTTGGCTATGATTTTACAATGGTTTTAAAGTTAGAAAATCCCTACAAATTTAATTAAGTCTAATTAACATTATAACATTTCAAGTGTACAGGCTCATAGATCGGAGTACTCCGGGCTTGGAGTACGTACTCCGGCCTCCGGAGGCCGGAGTACGCAGCTTTTTCTGGAGGCCGGAGTACGCGGAGGCCGGAGTACGCATGGCCGGCCGGAGGCCGGAGTACGGAGGCCGGAGTACGCAAAATTTCCGATCGCATAGATAGGAGAATTCCGGGCTTGGAGTACGTACTCCGGCCTCCGGAGGCCGGAGTACGCGACTTTTTCTGGAGGCCGGAGTACGCGGAGGCCGGAGTACGCGTGGCCAGCCGGAGGCCGGAGTACGCGGAGGCCGGAGTACGCATGGCCGGCCGGAGGCCGGAGTACGCGGAGGCCGGAGTACGCAAAATATCCGATCTATGTACAGGCTATCCTAAATTTAGGGTTACTTGATATTTTTATTTACGTTCATCATAATGCCAACGTGCATACTCAAGTATGAATTTTTCATTACATATTTATGAACGTTTTGTAATTCGTTATTTAAATCTGTATAAAATCGACCGTACTTTTTTAAAATATTTATTAACAGGTGCACCATGTGGTATGGGGGGGGAATGGAGTTCTGATTCATGGTGTATCAAAATTTACGGACTAGATCAGCGAAAGATGGAAGCGTTTACGCATTCATTCCCAGAATTTCAAATTGCAGGAAATAATCATCCTACGGTGGATTATATGAATTTCCAGTATCTTTTTCTTACATGTCCAGCTCAACCAACAAAAATTGGTAAGTTGCATTTAATATAAATCAAAATGTATTACCCCGGTGGCATAAATTGACCAAATTTGTTCACAAAATTGCTGAAATAGTTTGATAACAACGCCACTACATATCTAACACGTTAATAAATTGCTGCCTAATAGTTATCAACTGGATAATATGAAATAATTGCCCAACGTTTTAAGAGAATTTTGTATTATTTGGAAATTAATGGATTCAATCCGTAAAAAAAATTCTTGAAACGCGGTGTAACGCAGGGTAATGAATTCACTTGCGACCAAATTATTTTGAATGTATAGATTAATATTAATAAATATGTATATTAAGGTGTAATTGTGGTTTGTGGTTTATTGTTAATATTCTTTTTGTATACATATTTCCAGCAATTAGCGATGACTGCATTTTGGGTGCTTTGATCAAGTACCTCAATTACTTGGATTGTTACAAATTGAAGGTATTTGGAACCAGCGAAGTTGCGGAAAAAGATAAGGGAACAAAGACCTGGACCTACACGATGCAATAATAGCGTAAATAACGTGGCTGTAATGAGATTAAATTTTACAAGTATTATCATTAATGAATGCATTTTAAATCATACTTATAATTTTTGAAATGTTTGTAGGTGGAAATGCTTTACAAAGATGAAATTGAATGTTTTCCTAACAATAATGATGTCCAGAACAGCATAAGAATTAATTTAATTAATGAAGAATTAAGACGCTAAAGAATTTACACTTATTTTATAAACTTGAAATTCAAAATTTACCTGGCTTACTATGAGGGCCTCATACCAAGTATATAATCACATAATCAAATTAAATTGTATTATTGAAAATGTTAAAATCTGACTAATCTTATTTGTACGCCGGAAATTATTAATTAGTAGATCATGTCAATTTTGCCCGTTAATAATAAAGGAAGATGATGATTCATTCATTTTGAATTGTATATTACCTATGGTTAGTTATTTTACAATGGTTTGAATTATGCATAATTTAACGACTGGACGGCTCGCTGCATGGACACATCAACAAATAAATCCTCTCTAATAAAGTATATAAAAAGTTTCTGGCAGAAAAGGAATTAGCTTGCAGGGATTGGCTCAAAAATGTATCCATCCTGTTGACAAATTGCATTACTACTCACAATGCGATGGTGTGAAGTGTAACCCTCCGATTTGGTTGAAATTTCGAAATTATGTGGTCCAAGTCAATACAACCAACGTTTCTTCAGGCAGTTACCGCGATGGTCGGAGTTTGGCAGAATATTTGAGGTCAAAGTTGAAAAAATGGGCGATTTCTAATAAGCATAGGAAATTCCCTTCAAAGGGAAATATCGCCCCATTTTTCAATGTTAATCTCAAATATTTTGCCAAATTCTGACCATCGCACAAACTGCCTGAAGAAACGTTGGTTGTATTGACTTGGACCACATAATTTCAAAACTTCAGCCAAATCGGAGGGTTACACTTCACACCATCGCATTGTCAGAAACGGATAACGACAAACGTATTTACTCCATGAGTAGTCCTATGATCGGATTGGTCTGCCATCAGTGAACTATACAAATCAAATCTCAATTGTCAAATCTAAATCTAAATATTTGCCCTTGAACAAGGTACTTTTTCGTCGGGATTATATGCATCCTTAATAAGGATTCCTTATTAAAATGAACTTAATACTTTTGCAAATTTTGACAGAATTACTTAACTAACCCAATCTGTAGCATTTTTCCTGCATAGACCATGAACAGGAACACAGTTAACAAAACAGGCCCCGAGTAAAAATTTGAACAGAAAATTGGCCCAATTTTATGTAGAGAGATTTCCCAAGAAACCTATGCAGAATTATGCACATCTGGTACTGCAGAATAATAGCGACAAAAATTTTCTGCAAGATTATGTAAAAAAAAATATGCATAATACAATATGCATAATGTTGTTCTCGAATACTGCAGAATTCGACACAGACGTTTCAACTCGGGGCCATCATTACATACCCTTTCCGGCCGAAATCCCGACTGAAATCTTGGTCTCTAGCCTTGGCTATATTAGGAAACTGGCAACAATTAAAATTAGGCTACAAGTAAAGGTTTTACGGTACTTTACAAATATTTTAAAACATAAAAAAGTTCTCTGACTTTGGGAGTATTTACAACATTTTTATTGTCAGCGTAATATCAACTCAGTTTTTCTTTTCCATCCCGCGCTGGTATCCTTCCCATACTATTAGTATGGTAGGGATACGAAGCGGGAATCAAATTTTTGGTAATTCTGAGTCAGTAGTAATAAAGGTACGACGAAGAATGTGTCGCGTTTCTCGGAAAAGGTTACAACTGCCAAGCAAAAAGGGTTGCATTCCAAATTCAGAACTCACTAACTAAAGGTTGAGATGCAAAAAAGGTTTATTTTCTTATTTATGTAAAATAAGTGTGAAACCTATATACATATATAGAAATGTAAATATCTAGGTTGATATTTAATAAGACAGGGCAGTCTATTTTATGACGCGGTTGCATTTCCTTGTCAAATCAATTTATTTAGAAAGGTTCATAATGTAAGCAGTTGATTATATTTTTTAAAAGCTTTAGTCTGAATATGTATATCGTAAATTAGTTCTTATCCTCAGTGTCCTCCGTAATCAGATAACTACACAAAGATATCACAATTTTGTATTTCCAATAACTTGTTCAATAACCATAAGTAACTTTAATATCGTCTAACTTAAAGGAATCCAATGGAGCCAAGCCAATCAACGAACAGGGAATTTTACACACTTTCCAAAGTGTTAAAAAACACAGACAAATAACGCAGTAAACTAAGAATTCAGGAAACAATGACACAAGTGAAGTGCAAGTTATGTTTTTCAATTTAGAAAATTTTGGTTTGAAGGCAAATCACGAATTTCAAAATATTTCCACAGGTTTGTGGGAAAACTTTGAAAAAACACTCCCTCAAGGCACACATGACTTTGCACACCACCAACCGTCCCACATATTCCTGTGAACTCTGCCCCCGAATTTTTACAACAGTCCTAGGTTTCCAAAGACACGTAAAGCACGTGCATACAGAGTGCGTGCGAAAACAATTTAAATGCACATTTGATGACTGCCCGGCCAAATTTCTAACTACAGGATCACTTTCTAGCCACATCAAACTCGAGCACGTGAAGGACCCTGTCCGGTTCGCTTGTAGCTTTTGTGACAAAAAGTTTAAAGTTAAAAGACACTTAACCCAACATGTCGAAACCCATGCGATCCAACGAACCCGGCTGCCCTGCAAGTTTTCCGGATGTGATAAAACATTTGTGAGTAAGGCATACGTCGCCCGACATTTTGCTACTTAGCATGCCGCAAATCCTGTCCGATATCCGTGTACGCTGTGTGGGAAGGAGTTTAGCTTTAAGGAGAATCTTAGACGACATGTTGGAATACATACGAAGGAAAAGACGTACAAGTGTGTCACCTGCGGAGTCAGTTTTGCATACAAGAGCGTTTTGATTTGCCATGAGGTAATTTGAAAAATTAAATAAAACTGGCCATTTTTATAGAAGTGGGGACCACTCCCAGACGAGAGCAGAGGCACTCTAAAAGATCCGGTAAAATAATTCTCAATACAGCCTATTTATTACCGCCTGTGTGGTAAGATTAGGTATTACCATCAGCGGTAGTATGGTAACGCTGTATTACGGTAGTAAAGACTACCAGCCTGGTTAAGTTCGCAGTGGAATTGTCGGGAGAGGTCGTCACAACTTGCCTCGATTTACCAAAACGAGTCTTAATTATGTTTAAAAACTCTTCACCTTTCTTCCAGAATACACACCTTGAGGACTCTGAACGTGCCGTGTTTCCATGTAAATTGTGCGATCGGACCTTTTCAACAATACGAGTCTCTGGGATCATACGAGAAGCCATCACGTTACTCTTAAGAAGTATTCTTGTAAACGTTGCGAGTATGCAACCAGTTATAAATCCAACTGTACAAGACACTTGAATCGTGTACATTATGAGGTGAAGAAAACCGATTGTTATTTTTGTGCAAGAAAGTTTTTTAATTTTCAAGATTTGGTCAAGCACAGTAAAAATCATACGAATGAAAAATAAAAATACTTATTTTCCTATCTTTGCTCTATGTAAATACAGATTGTAGAATTTAGGACAAGTTCGATTTAAATTTGTGCTAGTTGTTTACTCTTTTAATTTTTCTAAAATCGTTATATTTTCACTAGGTGAACATAATAAAATGGTTATAGTTCACTTTTGAATTACTTGTTGGATGTGTTTGTCGAATCATATTATTCTTACTCATATCTAGATTTGGAAATGGTTAAATACAATCTATAGAAATTAATTTCACACTCCATTACTAAGGTTTGGCTAAATGAATAATAATAAATATGTAGTGATAACAATACATATGTATGTATGTACTTCTTAACAAGCTGGCTAATTTCCTTACCAAGTAAATATGTACACTAAAATTCTAGGTAAAAAATTGTATTTTCTAATTTCTGTACAACACGCTCATTTTAGTATACTAGCGTATAAGCCCGTTTCCCTCCGGGCGAGAGTTGATTAGATTCTTATAAAGTATGTACATCAAGTAAATATTTTGTATATATTTATTAAAAAACCGATTTGTCGCTAGCGGAAGTGAAAGAAATTTACGACAAAAGTCAAAGTGGTAAATTAAATTACACCCAATTGGCGTTTACCTCTACGCCACTGCATACTGCCGGAGCTACTGCCATTGCTCTAGATGCACCCTGGCAAAGATCGATATAAAAAGTTACAAAAAATTTACGAAAATCCATTTTAGTAGAGGGTGTTCCGGAAGTAATGCAACTTTGGTCAAATGCACATATAAACTCAACGAATGAATTTTTTAAAGCGAAATTTTGGTCAGAAAGGAACAAAGGTTAAAGCTAATTAAGTTTTGCTTTCAATGGTCCGTACACCCCTTCCGCCAAATTTGGAGACGTTTTTGTTGGGCGCTCACAATTAGTGCTTCGCCACTGTTTTTGGTCACCTTTTTTGAGATTTTTGACCACATGTGTTGAAATAAGTTCAAATTTTTGACTGAAGTTTTTCGATTACAATATTCTTTCTTGGATAAAAACTAAAATTGTTCAATAGGTCTTGTATTTGACAAATTTGGGAACGTTGTTCACCTCTCCCATGTTAATTGCATTTGATCCGTTTTAAGGCGGAGCGTGATACTTTGGCTTATATTTAATTTCCAGTTTTGCATAAATGGTTTTCTTGAAGGTGGGAGAGTTGTACTATGTGCAAATAAAAGCATTTTGATAATCTGAGCAGTAAATCGTCTTGTACAGGACGATCAATTTTGGTTAATTTTAATTACTTCAGGTCAAGGATTTTTTCTGCCCTCCTGCTTGCTACTTTTATTTTACTCGTGACTATATTTATAAGCTTCTAGAACCTTCTAGGATTTGATGTCCAACTTCTAAGCTTTCAAATAATGTATGGTGTTCGGTGAGAACTTCAAGAACTTCAGCGAATTTCGCTCCGACATAACAAATTTCTATCTACACGAAGTTTATTACTTTCGGGGCTGCCACACGAATGTACCGACCAGATATTTTTTGCGATTAGTCGTTTTTTGCAGCTCATACCTTAGTATAACACAACACATCGTCACTTTTGGAATTTCTTATTTTTTAAAGTGAACACAGCTGAATTTCTTGGAGCGCGTAACCACTTTTTCGAGGTAGTGGCAGACGATGGTTGCGAGTTGCTTGGTGGTATTTGACCTCATTTTGGAACGGATAGAGATATCGACTTCTGGTTTTCGGATTCTACTAGATAAATGTGTGGACTACAATATTCACCAATTTCGAATTTGGGGCAAATTGATACCCTTGCATATATGCATTTTACCAAAGTTGCATTACTTCCGGAACACCCTCTATGTCTCTCTTTTCTTATCCCGCTACGCGGATGGCCCAACTTCTTCCGCCACTACGTATAATGTGGGTCTAATGTTAAACTGCAGGATGACAATCAACGTACGTTTAACATGAACACGACAAAATACAAACGGTTGTATTACACTATGTCTCATAATCGATCATTATTTCTTTGTCAACAACAAATTTACCGTATTTTCAGTCACCCTTGTAAAATAATTGATAAAGTACTCCATCTGAATCCCATTCTTTAAAGTGTCGACGGAAGAAACGACTTCCAAGTTGATACAATTCGGCAGTAACGATTTAAGAACGGTTTGTCTATACCGATCCCCATACTTCCGCCGCATCTCCCTAACGAACCGTTTCGATTCCTTGGACGATATTCCGATAAAATATATGGAGAAAATTTCCAGCATCACGGCGACACTGATCAGTCCGACACAAATACAAATTAGCATGACCGACATTTCGTTCCCCTTGGCCAATTCGATGATTATATTGTACATCCCAACTGTTGCCAGCACCACCAGGGCGGCGTGGTGGAGACAAATTGTGACAAAGTCGCGGGCCAGTTCAGAATGTAAAATAGCGACGTAACGAAGACAGTTGTGCATGTGGATTGCTGTGGTGAAAGGTAATCCGAAAGTTTCGGTCGTCGGAACAATTCCGAACGTCCAGACGTACACGCAGACGACGCCGTATGCCGAGATTAAAAAGCAAGTCCCCATCGTCGCCATTAAAAATAAACCCCCAATGGCCGTGGGGATTCCGGAGATAATCAGGACAAATGACGAGTAAAGGGTACCAAATCGCTCAAAATTCCGGAATGATTTTAACGTAGCGTAGACCGGGCTTGCGTGGGTGAACGAAATGATGGTGAACATCAGAGGGGCTATGTAATCAAATCCGAAGAAGAAACTGTTCATTAGTTTGGTACATGTCTTGCAGGCTTGGAGAGATGTTGGATTTAGATCGAAATCTTGGCAGAGAGCTGTAAAAATTGGAGATATCAAAAGAGATGTGTAATATTTTCTACTCCTAAATACAAAGTGGCCGAAAAGGACAAGAAGGGACAACTAACAATGCGATGGTGTGAAGTGTAACCCTCCGATTTGGTTGCCTAAGACTAACAAAAAATTCTGCGATCAGCTTCGAAGGGTTCATCGGCTTGCACTCCGCATGGTCACTGGTGCTCTTCCGACTACTCCGACTGCGGCTTTAGAAACCTTACTTGGTATCCTTCCAATTCACCTAAGACTACAGGAAGTGAATCTTTAATCCTATTTAAGATTAAGGGTCCGCAGTCAATGGTTATAAATCACTCATGAATATTGAGCTGTGCTCAAGTCTGGCTCAGAGGGTACCTGAGCGGGAGTGGGATTTGCTTCCTCCGGTTCGTAAAGATCATCAATTTTTCGACTTTGGCCTCAAATATTTCATTTATAAATATATGGACAAATTCTGATCATCGCACAAACTGCGTCAAGAAACGTGTGTTGTATTGACATGAACCACAGAAATTTCAGAATTTGAACCAAATCGAAGAGTTACAATTTACACCATCGCATTGTGTGTCGAAAAATTGGAGTGCCCCTACATACATAGTATAGGTACACACAAATATTAATATATTTGTAAATTCGACGAAAAATTTTATTTCATTTACTTAGCTATCAATGTCTAACTTAAAACGCTTACGATTTTAAGATAAAGGAACTTTTAAAAATATTATCTTCTCCACTGGTTATCTTCTCCTTTTTTGACCATTCAATCGTCCTACCTTCAAAATGTTTTTCCAGTCGCAACGTGGCCTCATAAACGTCCACATATTTCTTCGTACCAGATGGTTGCCTCAGGTTCCAAGCAAGAGGGACGAATCCAGTTACAACAAGCGTGACTGCAAACGTGACACATGTCGATGTCGAGGTTTCTCGTTCAGGTGACGTAAACAAGATAAAACTTCTACTTAAGAAAGCAGGAGCTAGGAAAAACATAAAAATATTGCAGAGTGTTTGGAAATTGCGGTATTTTGGCCCGTTCTCCAAGGAGATTGCATGTTTCTTTTTGACATCCAAGTCAAAACAATACGCCTTCCAGAAGCAACTTCGCTGGATGACACGGATGGCACGATGCAGATGCTTGAACGCTTCGTCGTGATACATTTCGACAGAGATTTTTTATAGCTGGACTGAAATTTTGAAAAATTAGTAGTGTAAAGCCATTAAGTTGTAAATGAGTTGACGTTAAATGCACTACCTAGTATAAATAGTTGTCAACTTGCTCAAACTTAAGCATTTTTGGACTCCCAGATAAATTTGGGGTTGGCTTGTACAAGTTTCAAATAACAGGAAAATTTCGAATCTTTTAAATTTTAGATTAAACAGTTAATGAGTTGTTTAAGACAAGCTTGCTCAAAAACTATAAATTTACAACTTTTCTTCTTCACTTATTTACATTTATACCATTGCACCCCAAATATCTGGGAGTCCAAAAAGCTTAAAGATTAAATTTTGACCAAGTTGGTGACTATTTCTAGTGCACTTAAGGCCATCTTATTTATCACTCACAGGCAAAACCATGAAAAATTAAGTTAACAGGGTGAAGAGCGATGTTGGATATATTTATGTACAATTCGAAGTAAAATGATTATGTTTAAAGACGAAAAGTTTGTATTAGTTTGTTTATCAAATATTCAAGTTCAATAATATACACGATTACAATCGAGTTCGAACTTCGAAAATTGCTTCCTTAATTAATATTTGGGTTATAGTGGAAACGTATTTTCCTTTAAAATTAACCTGCGTTTGGAATACCAATTTAAATTTTCTCTACGCTTTAAATCTTTCTACTGTTGGGTCATGTAATCAATTTTGGGAGTAATATATGTATATAAATATAGAGACATGCTCCAAAAATTTTATTTTGAAAGCACAAAAGTAGAAAATAAGTTGATTAAAATACATTCGTTGTGCAGGAGAGCGCATTGACTTATTTAGCAAATGGGTTTTAAATTAAATCTTATTTATCTAATTTATTTTCAGTTTCGGTACGTATGTACATAATATGTATGTATGTATATGTATGTATATTATACATAAAAGGCATATTTATTTATGCATGCATGACCTAGAAATGAATACAGAAAGCTGTATATTTTTTTCAGAGTTGTAGGAATTAATTTCAAACTTTTAATGATTTATTTCTGTATACATATAGGGATATGTTACGTGTAGCGGATGTAACTATCATAAAAATGTGGATATCTGAAAATTTAGCAGAAAAATAAAGTACAAAGTGAAAAAGTAAAATTAATCCAAATGTACTCGTTTTTCCAGCGTGTGTATTCCAAAATGATGAATAAGGTCGCTAAGCGCGTAGAATTTTACTCCACAGAAGTAGCATCCGTACCGTTTTATACCTTCGTGGACCCTTTCCATGTGCTTCTTTAGATTCCCCTTGGATACGGTTTTTAATCCGCATTTGTGACAGGAATGGATAAATTCCTGACTTGTTGAGTGTTTGGCATGCACGTGGTATTCCAATCTAGCCGCAGATGTTAGCCTCTTGTCGCAAAGGGTGCAGGGATAGTTGCTCCCATGTTCGTGGGAACTCTTAATATGGTTCCGAACGCCAGATGGGGACCAGAAAATTCGAGGACATAACAGACACTTGAACTCTTTTCGGGAAGATTTCTCTTGATGCGTTCTCTATAAATAGATATTTTTAGATATTAATTCCGGAGGTATAGAACAGCGTATTCCGACCCGGGATTTACTGGGGTTTGAGGTTTTGAGGTTTTACTGGGTTTTAGTGGGTTGTAAAGCAATAAAACCCAGCTAATTTTATTATGTTAAAGGGGCTTTATTAGGGTTTTACTGGATTTTACTCGGGTTTTATTAGGTTTTATCTAAAATATAAATGAGTAAAATTAGTTTGCAGGTACTTCTCTGATTAGAGTTGGGTACATGATCTGAAAATACCAATTGACAGCGTAACTTCGAGTTTGATGATATTAGTGTCTTTCAGGGTGTTACTGGCATTTTGCATTTAGGTTTCATAGAAAAATTAGTAAAATACATTAATTTAACAAACTAGTGTACTAAAAACCATAATCTTGTGGGAATGGTGACATGGTAAATTTTATTACTTCACCCAAAATATTAAGTAAAACCCAGTAAAGCTCTGGGGTAGTCGTTTCCAAGATAACACCCCAGGGTAGTTGTGTTCAAGGTAAATTCCCGGGTAAGTCGTTTTCATGGTAAAACCCCGCGTTTTTTCCTAACCCCGGTATAGAGAAATTTGTTTAAATGTCTCGTCTTACCTCATGAGCTTTCAAAACAGCCATCGTTGCAAAACTCCTCCCACAAACTGCGCAGACAAACGGTTTCTCTGTCGTGTGCGTAGAAATGTGTCGGTTTAAGGCCCACTTGTCTTTAAACTCCTTGTCGCAAAGGGTGCACGGAATTCGGACGGGAGTCTCGGCCTGCTCTGTTTTAAAGTGCTGCACGACCTTATCTTTATCAGCAAAAGTTTTACCACAGACGGAAAAAGTGCAAGGAAATCGAGGTCTCTGCTCCCCCGATCTGTGAAAACTTTACGTGTGCCTTCGTAAACCGGAGGGATGTGCAAATTCTTTCTGACAATAGCAACAAACAGATTTGGGTTTGTTAATATGCATGCTTCTAATGTGCATATAGAGCGTTCTGGGATTCTTCAAGGTTTTGAAGCAAATCTGTTTGGAAATATACGAAAATCCTGACTAATTTGTTTATAGATTAGCAAAATGTTAAAAAATTCTGTTATGTTGACGTATGTACATACCTCACACTGAACTTGAAGGTTTGTGTCATTCTTCTTATTGTGGGAGGAATTTTCCGCATTTAGATGATAATCCCGCCTGTGCTGCCAGAATCCAACCTTGCAGAAGAACGTCTTGGGGCAGAATTTACACGCATATCGTTCTCTGACAGATTTATCCTGATGGGTTATCTAAAAGGGGAAAACATTAATTATGTTTGCCATTAAAACCACCCAACCATTTTTTTTCTTTCGACCAAAATGTCAAATAATATAACCAAACCGTTTAGTATTTCAATTGCCGAATAATTAACTAAAATAAATAAAAGATATTAAGGTTCCCATGGATGACGCGTTGGCGCGTAATCTCACTCTGCCCCTACCTAATGTATTCAAATGCAATTTCTAAAATAGAATCAACTCCATGAGTTTTGAGATAAATGCAACTTTTGAAATTTTAATCTAAAGCTAATTTTTGGTACTACAAACAAGTCGATTTGAAAAAATTAAAAAAATTCATTTTCGACGAAATTTATTGTGAAAAATTGGCAAACGAATTTTTTAATTTTTTTCACATCGACTTGTTTGTAGTACCAAAAATTAGCTTTAGATTAAATTATCAAAAGTTGCATTTATCTCAAAACTCATGGAGTTGATTCGATTTTAGAAATTGCATTTGAATACATTGGGTAGGGGCAGAGTGAGATTACGCGCCAACGCGTCATCCATGGGAACCTTAAAATGCAACAAGATTAAAAAGAAATTTGACAGTTTCAGAGAGATATAACTGTATTTAGTCAAAAACCTTGTTATGTATATGGAAATATTGTTGGTTTAAACAGTCGATTAGTTGCAAATTTTAGTGTTGTAAAAGTTATTGCTTTTGGTTAGGAGAAAATAAATTTTGGTTGGGCAATATTTACAAATTTGACCCATTAATTGTAGAAAGAAGGAGTAATTTATTTTTGATAAATTCTTACTACAGATTTTAAAATAAAATTTCCTTTCTGTGCGATGTTGATTGCATAATTAAAATTTTCAACCAGTGTCCACTTTTTTTTGACGAAAAATACGAAAAATGCACTTTGGTCTGTATAGGCAAAATTCCAAAATTTCAGAAGGAATATGTCGGAAAAATCCACTTTTGACCATCAAATTTTCCCCAAAATACTGTGGAAATTCTTTTTTTCTTGTTTAAAGAAATTTTGATGTAAGGGTAATTTATGCAATACAAACATTTGTGTATTTCGTCGTCAAAAGAATACAAATGTGTGTATTTTTTTGGCGTTAAGAGCTTAATTGTAGAAAGACGGACTAAACAATTTATTTTTTGATAAGTTCTCACATTACCTCATGCCCTTTCAAGATGTCCATTCTTGCGAAACTCCTTCCACAAGTGGGGCAGATGTGGGCCTTCTCTGTTGTATGCTGTAATGCGTGTCGTTTTAAGTTTTTCATCTGTTTAAATTCCTTGCCACAAAAGATGCAAGGAAATCGGGCAGGATTCTCGGCGTGCTCTCGCTTGAAGTGACTCGCGGCACTACTTTTACTCAAAAATGTTTTCTCACAGCCTAAATGCGTGCATGAGATTCGAGCCCTGGCCTCCGTGTATTTTGGCTTGTTGACATGCATATTCCGCACGTGCTTGTACAGCATGGTGGGGTTTTTTAAAGTTTTCTCGCAAATCTTGACAAAAGTAATCAAATAAGCGACAATTATGCATCACTTGAATATTTATTTGTAAAATTTATTGTACACTCTAAATACGAGTATAAATAACATTTAATCAAGGTTGAGTAAAAGAGAGGATGGCACAACCAAAAGTTAAAATGTACTCAACAATTTGCAAAATTTGCCCACCCGTTGGACAAATTTTACACAACTTTGGCCAAATTTTGCACATTGTTGAGTAAATTTTAACTTTTAGTTGTGCCATCCTCTTTTTTTTTACTCAACCTTGAGTAAAATTTTGCTTGTTTTTATTTTGAATGTACAGGGTGGTTTAAATGTGAGGTTACAATGGAAATTTTGCAATTGGAAAAATTCATAAATTTCCATTAGTTACGGATTTGGGATTGAGGTTTTTATTAATTTTTGGGTTCAAAACTTATGGAACACTGAGGACAAAATTCTTAAAATATTGAATTTCGAAGGCAAAATTTCCGTAACTAATGGAGATTTGCGAATTTTTCAAATTGAAATGTTTTCCATTGTAACCAGACATTTACATAAACCACCCAGTATAATATATTTATACATACCTGACACTTAACGTAAGCGTGTGTGTCATGCGTGATGACATGGTTTTTAAAGTGTTGTTTAGTTTTAAATACTTTTGAGCAACGGAGACACTTCATTGTTTATTTACACGGCCCCCTCGTCTTTCTCAAAGTCAAACAACTTTGTTGATAATATTTAAGAAACTCGTTAATAAGTTGATTATAGATGAAGATAGATCTGCAATGACTTGAATCGGGACTGGAAATTTAGTTTTTATCCGATATTTTCTAATATTTAATACAAGCAATTTTCTGGAAAGCTTGAGCTAATGGAAAGTCTACTGGCCAACACTAAATTAACAGGGGCTGTTAATCCAACGGGAAAATAGTAAGAACTGCAAACTGCTTTGCGGAAGAATGGACAAAAATAGAATAGTATTTTTTTAGTAGTCTGGAGAAAAAGGGTAGCTAAGCCCCTGTTGAGAGGTTTGGTTTAAAATGTCTAAAATGAAGCCTCCCTTGTTCCTTGTATTTTAATGAGTATGACTAAGATTGTGGTTGTTCTGCTCAGAAAAGAAGGCAAGTTAACAAATATACTTAAACACTAAAAAGTTAGAGGATGTATGTAGGATATGTTCGGTAGTAATAAAGAAAAATATTGGAAGTTATTCTATTTATATAAATACCCATGTACCATTTTTCAATTATGAAAAACACAAAGGGTACGTATATACGTGGGTGTTTTATTATTAATTTTCAAAAGGTATGTTCCGCCCTGTTTCTGACCAAACTTTTGATGAAATAACTAACTTCAAACACTTTTAGGATGCTGTGATTTTTTTCAGTTCTGTAGGTTAACATTAACACTAGCAATAACTCATTAAAATTTACCTCGAAAATATGTCAAAATTTACAACTTGATTTCATTATCATCCGAAAACCGTTTTCCCCTGATGTTTTTCTTTAAGTTTCGAAACGAATAATAATCACTAAGGGACAAGTCTGGACTGCACGGGGCGTGGTTTGTGCAGGTAAAGCGATTTTCGTCTGCACTAACCCTCGCAAAAAGCCAGGTATTAGGTGGCGCGTTGTCGTCTAAAAAAGGCCAACTCTTTATTTTGACCCCACGTTTCTTTTCAACCGGAGGACGCAGCTCCTTTGGGGTTCCTGCATACACGGCCCCATTTATTGCAGTATTTCCAGCAATAAATTTTATAAGGAGGGGACCTTTGGTATCCTTGAAAATGGTCATCATCAATTTTTTTGTCAGATTTTTGCACTTTTCAATTCACGGGCGGTGGCAACCCCTCGAGCTTCCAATGAGGGAATTATTATTTGGTCACCGGGTCATAATAGTAAACCCAAGTACCATATGCAGCCAATAAAATATTGAGCAGGTTCCAGTTTTCATTTAATAGGTTAAAATTTGCATTGCAAAAGTCGACTCGATCCTGTTTGTGAGATGCCGAAAGCAATTTTGGTACCCAACGGACGGAAACCATTTTCATACCTAAGTCTTCAGTTAACATGGAACAAATTTCTGGTTTTGGAACACCCATCTCATCTGCTATATAGGACAGTTTCAATCGCGGATCTCTCATTATTGGTTCCTCTAGTTTCCGGAGCCTTTCTGTGGAAGAAGCGGATTTTGAGCGACCTTGCGACTTTTTGCCCGAGACCTCGTTTCGCCATAATTAAAAATTATTGACCCAATTGAATTTGTGTTTCGTGTTGGGCAGTTTTCATTGTACATTTTAAGCATTCAACCATAAATCTGCGACACGTATTGCCCATCCAGCATTAAAAATTAAATCACACTACGATATTTAATTTGCAAATCTAGCATTTTTTCCTTCGAGGTAAAGTTTGCCGATTTATTGCTAGTGTTGACGTTAACCTTAAGAACTGAAAAAAATCACAGCCTCCTAAATGTATTTGAAGTTTGTTATTTCATCACAATTTTGGTCAGAAACAGTGCAGAACATACCTTTTGAAAATTAATAATAAAACACCTACGTATCTTATTGTTGCTTGCAAACTTGAACAATCTTCTCAGAAATATTCTGGTCATATTTTAATAATTTTAATTTTCATACATAGGTACATATTTATGATATGAAGTGTTTAATTGTTATAAAATAAATATTAGGAGTCCTACATACGTATTTTAATTTCTCCGTATTATATGCAGCATTTGAAATCCGCATTATTCAGGCCAGAGTCGTCTGCGTCTTAAATAAAAAGGAAAAATCTTTATCAATAAAAATTAAACTGTTATGGTTCATCTATTAAAAACGCGTCTTTTCAAAAGAGGGTTTTTCCGCACATTTGATACCTCAAAAACCCACGAAAACCCCAAAAACCCTGGGTTGCGAACCCTGCTGATAATCTTTAATATTTCTATTAAAAATTTACATATTCGCCTTATATCGTGCTTCCAGGAATCCTCCCGGAATCTTAGATATTAAGCAGCCAATAAAATATGAAGTCTCGATAAGCCTAATGGTTTCCCACTCCCAGTCAAATTCTGGCCTCTATTTTCGAAAAAAAACGTGCCGTTTTTTAAATATTTTTAACAAATTGTGTGCGTAGTTGTGTCTCTCACATGTGATATATTGTCAGGTTTAGTCATGTGAACGATGGCAATTCCCATGCCACATCGTAATCCGAATAATATCAGAAAACCTGTCAAT